AAAATGTATTACTGTATTGTCGCGTTAAGTAATTTTGGGGTTCTCGCTTCATGTTACTTGGCACTTGGTCATGTTTTTGTCAAAAAGCAACGAATTCAAAATAAATAAATAAATAGATGAGAGGCCCGCCAATAAATCGAGACCTCATTTCGGACCAGAAAAAGTTGGAAAAAGAGAAAAGTATTGACTAGATCTGGTCAATCTATTGCCATTTCTGTCCCTCTGGGTAAATTCTTTATGGTTCTTTAACACTGCATTCTGCATCCATGTGGCTGCAAATGGCTCTCACATGCGAGTCCCAGTCGTTTGGTTGCTTCTCTACCTCTAGTTTGTCTATTCTTGATGCACACTTAAATTCTTTAAATTCCCCAGATTTGCTCTCCCTACAGAATATGCTCGTATATGGATCTTACTACTTCCTAAATATGGACCTTATATGCAAATAGGACTACCTTCAATACGTCTTCTTGATTATCATTGTTATTTTGCCACTCTTCATGAACCTCGATCCTATTGAGAGGCTCAATCCAACACTCATTGGCAGATGCTAATGCTTGAGGAGCTGCAAGCTTTAGAAAGGACTCGTACGTATGATTTGATTGATCTTCCACCTAGGAAAATTAGCGAGTGGGTTTATTAAGTTAAGACTCACTCTAATGATTCCATGGAGCAGTATTAGGCTTGCTTGGCAGCCAACGGTTTTAAGCAAGATTATGACATTGACCATTAGGACAATTTTGAACCAATTGCTCGACTTACATTTGTAAACACTTTTTTTTTGCTAGAAATACATTTGTTAACGCTCTATTGGTTTCTTATATTGATGTTTTTCATGAATGGACAAAGTGCATTGAAATATTTTACGTGCCAATTACGATGACATGCATAGTACATGGGCCATGTGGATTGGCCGATTACAACACATCAATCGTCCGTAGTAGAGTGGTAGTTTAATCTTTTACTTTAAGAATTTTGTCTAAAGACAAACATTGCTTCAAATATCATAAAATGCGAAATGTATTAGATACAGATACAAAATTAGAGGAGATTCTGAATTTTCTCTAATATGATTAAAATTAAGAGAAGCTCAAAAACCATCTTGGTGTTCTATTAAAGCTTTGAAATTTTTTATTTTGTGCCGTGATTTTGTAGCTTTGTTATTAGGCTTCAAATTTTAAATTTGTTATTAGGGCGCGCATGGAATCCATTATGGAGTAGAAATTCTGCTCCATAATGGATTCCGGAACAGAAATGCGTTTGTTAAAAAATTTCCGGAATGCATTCTGGAGCAATTTTTGCATTCTGGAATAAAAATGCGTTTGTTAAAAATACTTGATTCCAGAATGCATTCTTGATTCCAGAATGAGTTTTGGGCAAGAAAAAGAGAAGTTACTTTTTGTAGCTTCTCTCTTCCAGAATGCATTCTCCCTATTTTCTCTCTTTTTCTCACTAATTTTTTTATTCATAAAAATTTCTAGAAAATAAAAAAAGTCAAATTTCGGGAAAATAGGAAATTTGGTGAATTTTTTTCAAAAAATATAAAAAAAATCAAAAATTTCAAAACTTCACAAAATGGCTTAGAATACCTTTGGGCACCCACTTTGAGTGAAATTTAATTTTTTTTAGGTGCCCAAAAAAATCAAAAAATAAAAAATAAAAAACTTCACATAATGGCTTAGAATACCTTTGGGCACCCACTTTGAGTCAAATTTAATTTTTTTGAGGTGCCCAAAAAAATCAAAAAATTAAAAATTTCAAAACTTCATAAAATGGCTTAGAATACCTTTGGGTATCCACTTTGAGTGAAATTTATTTTTTTTGAGGTGCACAAAAAAATAAAAAAATAAAAATAGATTTCTTTTCCAGAAATCGATTTCTGGAGTAAAATTAGTTATGTTTTATCAAACAGATTTCTCTTCCAAAAATCAATTTTTGGCAAGAATTCCGGAAATCAATTTCTGGCAAGAATTTGATTTCTGGAGTAGAATGGTTACCATTCGCGCCCTAAACGAACGGGACGAGGAAACATCTAGAACCAAAGGTGTGACTTGATTTAAAGAAGATATTGTGACCCATAAAAAAGGATTTGATGTTGCAAAATTGAATATACACAACTACACGTTCAATTCACATATTGATATGGATTTTAGGTTCTTGTTCTATTAAGATTATTTGACTTGTTTTAATGAAAATATCGACGTCTCAAAACTCACACGAATAGATATGCATTATAAGCGCAACTATTTTGCGTTTGCTTCTAGGAAGAACGGACACTCTCTAGGGGCCTCCGTGTTGTGTCGGACGCGTGTCGGACGTGTCAGACATTGACACTCGTCCGACACTCTTTTTTTATTATTTATTTATTTGTAGATTTGAATCAAATTAATTTAATTGAAATAATAATAAAAATGACAATTTATTATGAAAATATACATTTAATATACAATGTATCGAATTTCTCTATTTTTTAAAAAATGACGTGTCAGCGTGTCGTGTCATGTCGTGTTGTGTGTCGGTGCTACTTAGGTTTGCTTCAATTGTCAACCTTGTCATGTCGTCTGCCTAAGGGTGAGGGAGGGGGGAGACTAATAAAAAGGGTAAAGAACACGTCTAATGCTGTGTTTTTCTCCCAAGAAATCATTGGATGACAGATTTTCAAGAATTTGTTGATAAAGAAGACAAATTGATGGATAGCTGCCTCGATTGAATCATGGATCTCGACCTTAAAACTCGAAAATCTCATGTCACAATGAAAATAACAACAGGATCATCTGTTTAACAGAATTTAGAATTGAAATTTGCTCGATTAATTGACATGACTTACTTAATCAAAAACCGTGACGCATCATTATCTTTTTATATATAGATAACATGTCATATCTCAAGGAGGTAAATTGAATCAATTCTTGCTTTCTAAATATCTATTCTATTAATCTCTCGAGTGTTATATCCCAATAATGTAACATTTTTCTTATCCATGGTGATGGTCGAAAGAGAGAGGCTCATTTATGAAGTTTTTGATAAACAAGATGCATCATAAAGTTCATTTCAAATGGAGGATCGATGTAATGTCACTAATTACATTAGTTAGAAATGTATTACCGTATTGTCATGTGAAGTACCTCCGGGTTCTCGCTTCGTGTTACTGCACATGGTAAAACATCAAAAAGCAACAAAGGCAAAATGAATAAATAAATAGATGAGAGGCCAGCCCATCACCCGACCTCGGTAATCCTAGTTTCAAAAATTCGAGATGTTTGCAATTATATCGAGACCTCATTTCAGACCAGAAAAAGTGGGAAGAAGAGACAGTGTTGGGTCAATCTATAGCCTTTTCTGTCCCTCTGCGTCATTCTTTATGGTTCTTTATTACTGCTTCCTGCATCCACGAATGGCTCTCACATGCAAGTCAGTCAGTCATGTTGGTTCCGTCTCCTACCTCTAGTTTGTCTCTTCTCTATGCATCCTTAATTCCTCGCCGAGATCATGTGAAGTATCTCGGGGTTCTCGCTTCGTTTTACTCGGCACATGGTCATGTTTTCGTCAAAAAGCAACAAAGCCAAAATGAATAAATAAATAGATGAGAGCCCAGCCCATCACCGGACCTTGGTAATCCTAGTTTTAAAAATTCGAGATGTTTGCAATTATATCGAGACCTCATTTCAGGCCAGAAAAAGTGGTTAAAAGAGAAAGTGTTGGGTCAATCTATAGCCTTTTCTGTCCCTCTAGGTCATTCTTTATGGTTCTTTATTGCTGCATCCTGCATCCATGAATGGTTCTCACTTGCAAGTCAGTCAGTCAGTCACGTTGGTTCCGTCTCTACCTCTAGTTTGTCTCTTCTCTATGCATCCTTAATTCCTCGCCGGAGTCTCTCTCTCTCTCTCTTTCTCTCTTTCTTTCTATTGAGTGGGTTTTGTAGGCTTTTGCCTTCTCCCCTTCTTTGGTCGGATGAAAAGGACAGGAAAATGCAACGAAGCGATAGTAGAAGACTTTGGTTTGCTTGCTTTCTCGTGTTACCCGCTGTGAAGTAGGTTAGCTAACAACGATGATTTGGGACTTAGTGTGCTTTCCAGACAATTAACCAATCGGGATTAATTTAAATTTGATAATTCATCGCCTCCTCTCATTATATTCTTTTGAATTTTTAATTTAAAATTTAAGATAAAAGAGTTACAATTTTAAAATTTGGAATAAAATATATTAAGCTACTCACAGTTAGATCATAATTAATAAAATAGTTTATATTGAGAATTTTGCAAATCAACCCATTTTGCAAATCAAAAACATATTGTTCATAGCACTCTACATTCACTCCGTTACTAAATCTGATTATCTAGGCTGTTTCACAGCTTAATTTCTAAACTCAAGTTGGTTTCATTTTGAATGGGATACTAGATATATTTGAGTTGATTTTGTGTAATCTTGGTTGATACGTTCCTCGATTTGTCGAATCTCCATATATCCGGAACATTGTCGGCGTCTTTTATATGATTATGTTTAAATTTGTGATATCATATATCTTTCCATATTTGTTTGGGATTTAGATCCATATAAAAGATAATCATATTTGTTTGGGATCTAGCTCTTTATACTATAAAGTATTATTTGAAAAGGTAGGGCATAGTCAAGCATTCAAAGTTTGTCACGTTGTTTTATAACTAAGTAATAATGTGAGTGATTATTTTCAGTCTCTTATACTATTTAAAGTGGTGTTAATATTATGACACATATATGATAATTTTAATTTTAAATTTGTTATTAAATGAATGGGACCCGGAAACTTATAGGATGACAACCCATTGATCGATCCACGGAAACTTTTAGGAAACTTCCTAGAAACTTCTCGGATGACTCATGGAAAGTTTTCCCGTGCTCCATGACGCCAGAGACCGAGAGACCTTATTATATTGACAGCCCTTGCTCAGATCCAAGCACACCCAAAGCAAACTTCCCTGAGAGATAGACAAGATTTGATATCTTTGGTGTTTAGAGATCCTACAATGGAGAAAGGGACGAATTCACAGGTATCATCCGGATCTTCGTATGAGGTTTTTCTGAGTTTTCGAGGAGCGGACACCCGTTATGAATTCACCGATCATCTTTACCATGGCATGGTTGAGGCTGGGATCATCGTCTTTAGGGACAATGAATCCCTCCATGTCGGTAAGGAAATTGGTGGTGAACTTCTACGAGCAATTGAGAACTCCAAGATCTACATTCCCATATTCTCAGAGAATTATGCTTCGAGTGATTGGTGCCTCCGAGAGCTCGCATACATGGTCGAGTGCACCTCGAAATCAAATGGAAACAAAGAGATTCTGCCGATTTTCTTGAACGTGGAACCTGCTGATGTCAAGTTGAAAACATACTTGTACAAACAACCACTTTCAAAGCGTAAGAAGACAGGGTGCGCTGAAGCAGAGTCATGGGAAAAGGCTCTCGTTGAGGTGGGCAAGAAAAAGGGATGGAACTGGCAAAAAGATCAAGGGTAAATGTCTTAAACTTTTCAACTGTCATACATAGATTTCGTTTTCCTCTCTATTTAGTATAATTGTGGTATTGTTGGTGAAATTATAGTCTATTCATCTAGTCGATTCTATTTAGTTCAAATAGCGGTCGCGGTCGATTCTATTTAGTTCAAATAGCGGTCGCTGCCACTTCTTTGTCGCCAGCCCGACACCAAGCCGCAAGAAGCCTCCTCTGAGGCAACTGGCCGATCTGGACGTCGGGTCTGATGCCACCGAGCCCATATCCGGCGTCACTGACCTTGGGCGACCCCAAATCTGAAGTCACCCAAGGCCGATGACGCCATCCCCGGCAGTTGCAAGGCCACAACCTACGTGATGTGGAGGATTGTGGCAAGGCCAAGATGGGCAGGTTGACGGGGTGCGATCGGCAATGGCACTAGAATGGGACAGTGATGACCTAGGGAGGCGAGCGACGTCGACAGCGGCGTGGCAGTGGCATGGTCCGATATTGTGGTGACTGAAATTTTGGGGGAGCGGAGATACATTGGGAAAAATCTGGATGGTTTGGGCGTCTATATTATTTTGCTAATTTTTGCAAATTGTAAGGGCAATTGGTAGTTTTACAATATCAAATTTATCCCTAACATGGTTGTTACGTTGTGGCAGCCAAGTAGATTTGATACAATCTGTAAAGCAAACTGTGTTGACTAAGCTGAATATCGGATTTAAAAAAAATGTGACTGAACATCTGGTTGGAGTTGATGATCGTGTAGAAGATATAATCAAAATGTTGCATGTGGAATCAGATAGCGTACAATTCCTCGGAATCCATGGAATGGGCGGGATTGGCAAAACAACACTTGCCAAGGTCATCTTTAACCGACTGTCTTCTCACTTCCGAGTCTGCAATTTCCTTTCCGACATCGGAGAGTCATCACGACGTCATGGTCTGGTACATTTGCAAAAACAGTTACTATCCAAGTTCCTCGATTCTCATTCTAACCTCGACCAAATTCACGACGTGGATGATGGGATTGACATGATTAAGAGAGTATTTCGCAATAAAAAAGTTTTCATTGTTCTTGACGACGTGGATGAGAAAGAGCAACTCAAAAGATTAGCAGAAAAGGGCAATTGGTTTGGTTCCGGTAGTAGAATTATCATAACTACTAGGGACCAAAGTGTCCTAATGATTGAGGGAGAAGCAACAGATGAAGGCCCTGTAAAAAAGTTTGCAAATGTTTGGACTTACGAAGCACATGCAATGGAATTTGATCATGCTCTTAAGCTTTTTAGTAGGCATGCTTTTAGAAGAGACTCTCCACCATACCATTATGTCTCCCTTTCAAAGGCAATTGTCTCTACTTTGGGAAAGCTTCCATTGGCTCTTGAGATTATAGGTTCATCCCTTAGCGGTAAATCCAAAAAAATATGGGTAGACACATTGAAGAAGCTAGAAGAAGCTCCTCCCATGGGAGTCCAAAAAAAATTGATGGTATCTTATGAAAGGTTAGATCATGCACAAAAGCAAGTATTTATGGATATAGCTTGTTTTTTTGTTGGTTGGGACAAAACATACCCTCTGTACATGTGGGATGAATGTGGATATCACCCACACGATTCCCTTGAAGTCCTCTCTCTCATGTCCTTGATAAAAATCAAAGGCAACAATACTTTCTGGATGCATGATCAAGTGCGGGACCTCGGAAGGGAGATTGTCCGTCAAGAGAATTTCAACGATCCCCGCGAGCGTAGCAGAGTGTGGAATCATAAGGAAGCCCTGAGCATTCTGCAGCTGAAAGAGGTACAATAAGGGAATAGCAATTTATTTTCCTATGAATTGTTACGTACTATTCTTGCAAAAGGAAAAATTAATCGCTATTAGCGCTCAAAATTGTTTGCTTTTGACCTTCACATGTGGACTTCTTGGTGTTTCCATTGTCAGGGAAGTCGGAAAATAGAAGCACTGTCTGCAGGATATCATGGAAATGAAGACGTTATTCTAAAGCATGATGAATTTGCTAATTTGCGGAACCTGAGGTTCTTTCAGGGGGATAGGGTGTTATTTGTTGGAGACTTCAATAATCTTCTCTTCAATTTAAAATGGATTTCTTGGCAAAGTTGCCCTCCCAAGTTTGAGGCAACAAACTTTCATCCGACTAATTTAGTCGTTCTTGACCTTTCACGTAGCCATATTTCTGAGGAATGGATTGGCTGGAACCAAATCAAAGTATGATTTGAGTCCTACTCCTTGCATACGCATATCATTTCTTTTGCCATTTTTTTTCCTACAAGTCGTTTCTCAATATATATTGATCCAATTGTTTTGCAGGAGGCCAGAAAACTAAAAGTACTAAATCTCAGCTACTGCAAATCCTTAAAGAGAACACCTGATTTATCTACGTGGGTATCCTTGGAGATATTGGTTTTTGAGGGCTGTTCCAACTTAATTGAAATTAACCCATCCGTTGGTAAATTAAAGCTCCTAACTTCTTTGAACTTGGGGGGATGTCAGTTTCTTCAAGAGTTGCCTAAAGAAATAGGAAGTCTACAAGCTTTGACAGAGATTGTCATGCCTAAAATGCTACATGAACTTCCGGAGACGTTTGGTAATTTGCAGTCACTATTGACCTTAGATGTAGCAGATAGGAACATCAACAAATTGCCATACTCGATTGGAGGGCTGGTGAAACTTACGCGGTTGAATTTATCTAGCATATACATAAAGGAACTTCCAGATTCAGTTGGGAAATTACAATCATTAGTTGAGTTGGATTTGTCACGGACGAGAATTTGTCACCTACCCGATTCAATCGGCAATCTAAAGCAACTGAAGGTATTAAGGATGAGAGACATAGAAGGGATTACAAAATTGCCAAGTGCGATTGGGCTGGTGGAGAAGCTCGAAGAGTTGGATGCTCACGAATGTTGCAACTTGACCGGCGAAATCCCCGAAGAAATTGGGAGACTGTCCTGTTTGAGGATCCTAGACTTGTCAAACACATGTATATCCGGATTACCGACCACGATGAGTCACCTCTCTAATCTCCAAATACTTAAGCTAGAAATATGTCCCGAGCTGAAACAATTGCCGGAGCTTCCCCCAAGTTTGACTTGGCTGATATGGAGCTCTTTTTATTTCGGGTATTCCTCCTTGATAGCCCATGGCGTTTCCACTAGAATTGGTTCCCTATCTCAACAGGGACCACTTGTCGCCACTCTTCCCACTAGCATCGGTACCCAATCTCATCTTAAAACACTATCATTGTCCTGCAAATACGTGCAATTCCTCCCCCGGCTCCCGTCTAGTTTAAGAGAGTTACGACTTCAAGATCTGGCGACCACACGATCACTGGATTTTTCCAATTTGAAAAACTTGTCATTCTTGGCATTCTATGAATGTTCGCTAGAATTCTCGAGTATATTTGATGCGGAGTCGGAGGAACTCCGTATGGAGTGCTGTGAGCTTAGAAAATTGGACTCACCGTCGCAGTCGGAAATGAAAAGTTTGAGATTATTAAAGATGGTTGATTGTGAGTTCCTTCCAGAAGTACTTGATCTGTCGCGCATGAAGAATCTACGGGAGGTACGTCTGATAGGTTGCCGTTCATTAGTCGAGATTCGTGGCCTTGAAGAATTGGGATCCCTTCGCTCCCTATCAGTCATCTGTTGCCCTTCCATGGAGAGGATGTCAGGCCTATCGAAATTGAAAGAGCTACGGAAGCTCGAGGTAATAAATTGTCGTAATCTAAAAAGAGTGCAAGGTCTAAACCACTTGGGGCCTTTAAAGTGGCAGAGAATCTATGGTAGTGGAGAGTTTCGGGGGTGGTAACTCAAACGCTGCCGCCGTATCCGCCATCATACACAGAATTCCCATTGGCGGCTCCGATTCCTAGATCCGCTGCATTCTTCGGCGGGTTGCCGCAACCCCCACCCCTGCTTCCGCCTCCACCATGATCGCCTCCGAGAGCCTCATCGGTGCTGGTTGGAATATGGTAACACTAAGTTTCGCACCGTAACTTGCAACTGGTAATTTTAAAATTGCACACCAAATGCTTGCGCAATTGCCTCTTTCCCTGTTCGAATCTGGATATGAAGTTTTGTTACGGTGGTTTGATGGGTGAAGTTTCTTGTGTTGAGCTAAATGGGAAAACTGTGTGAATGGACATCTTAGTTTTGATTTGATTTGATTTGGTGTGCAGACGGTGGTAAAAACCCGACATTTCAAGAGAAGTTTGTGTTCACGCTCGTTGAAGGGCAAAGGGAGTTGAATCTTGCGGTGTGGAACGGCAATATCCTCACTTTGGGCATGTACGATCCGTTGAATCTATTCCTCTTTTCTTATGCATGTAGAATTATGTATAAGGTTCAAAAGCAAAATACAAAGAAAAAAAAATGTCAGAAGATAGAGTACATAAGATGACCTTCATGTAAGAACAGTGGTATGGTTTCTCTAATTCACTCATTCGCAATAATAATGCTAGGTTCTAACTTTGCTTTCAAAATTACATGCTGACTGCCAAATTATTGTTGTTGTCATCATCATCATCATCATTAGTAGGTTTGATTGCTTGACCGATTTGCTGGAAACTTGGGTGCTTCACAGTAGTGGATGCATTTTCCGTATCCATTTTAGTTAGTTATTTGTGTGTTAGGGCTTGGCATGTTATTTGCCAACTTTTATTTTTTTATTGTCTATGGATATCATATATTTTGTTTTCTGGTGAAATATGAGCTATTCGAGAATATTGGGAGTATTTATTCCTTCCAGAAGTAAAATTCTTGCACAATTTAGTTGTCCCGGTAGTGACCATTGCTGGTAAATACACTAGTTCTTCTAGCTAGATTCTAATATGGTCAACTTTGTAATGGACCAAGTAGAATACTTGTCTTGGTGTGAGAACAAGCCCTTGGATTTTTCCTTTTTATTTTCAAGAATATAGTTAGGCACTTACTAATATTTGATCCGACAGCTTTGAGATTAAAACATAGTGCCAATTCTGTAAGAATGACATAGACTACTTCCTGCAGCTGAAGTGATGGAGCCTTCACATATTCCCAAGGGTGTGAGATGGGTGTTGTTCAGAACCCTACATACTGCCAAGTAAACTTCTGCTCCTAAGCATCCTTTAATGGGTAGTGGTCAGCTGAACTAATGTGGGATTTCCAAATTGTTGGAAATCATGTCGCCCATGCATGTGCTATTGGAGCATTCATCTGAGTATTTTAGTATACTCTTGTATTAGTGAGTTTTATGATTAGAAGGACAAATTTGATTTGTGCTCTGTTTCATTCTCAGATGGCTTATTTACAAAAAAGAGTTCAATACGAGCCATGTGGGGTTCATGAGAGATGGAGCAAAATGGTTGGTAGAGAACACAGACATTAAACTTGTTGGTAGGATTCGTCCCTTCGTCCCTCTTTACTATTCTGATGCAAACTTAGTGAGAAAGCTCTTTTTTTTTTGTGTGTGTTTGGTGGTTTGCTTCATTGTCATCTTATCTTCACCTTTTACCAAGACTCACTGATTTATAGTGTACTTCATGATGTTTCCTAATTGTTACCCAGAAACCATGCTAGGATATATTCCTCTGTTAGGTAGCTACCTTTTCTATTACCACCAAATTTTACTTGCAGCTTCACTACAAGCAAATGTTATTTTTCTTAGGCATGGCAACAAATGCATACTTTCATCTTATTTGATTTTCTCCTTGATGACACATGAGTCACAGTATGGTGCTATAATAACTGTCAACATGAACACATGATATTCGGTTGATATCTAAAGACATGGGTCTGTAAGAAACTGCTCAAGCATATGTTGCTATAAGGCTTTTGAGCACTACGCAGGTTCATTTTTTACTAAACCCACCTCCTGAGAAATAGTGCAACTTCATCATCTATTTTCTTTCTTCTTCTGCAACTAGTAGATTATTACATGTCTGTGATTGAGATGCAATCTTGCACTGTGCTATTCAATGCATGAATTGATTACCTGTCTGTTACCGCATATGATGATTTGATTCCATCCCATCTTATCTTCCTCGAAAGCTGGGTAAGAAATTGATTTGACGTATGACAATCTTCCCCATCCAAGTTAAGAATGACCTTGTGTCATTGCTGAATTGCCATCTTAGACCTAAACTATTGTTGATGATTTTGCCCGAATTTCACATCGTTGCATTCTCATATGAAGTCTAGGCTCAAGAAATTGACACTACGCTAGAGCTACAGGAAATTATTCTTGTTGAGGGCTTGAATCTCGAAGATGTACCCATAGGAGTGTATATAGTCCATGTCTGCCTTTGAGATTGCTTGGTACAGAAGGAATAACTTCTCTGAGTTTTGTTCTTTTTGAGGGGAATTAATTTGACGACTGTTTTATCTACAATCATCATTATCATCGTCACACAAGATCAACTTATTCCTGATTGGTTACCATAGAGGTGTCAATTGAAGATTGTTTTGTTGTTTTTGTGACTTTGCATGTGATAATGCCAGGTGTTGACAATATTTCTTTTTTTGTTCCAGGGGAGTAGGAGTTATCAAAAGTGCCAAGTGAAAAAGGCATTGCACGCATGTTCTCCTCGGAATTCAGATTTACTTTGATGGGACACGTTTTGCAGAGAATGTGGAACTTTAGCGATCATTTGAATATGTAATATTATTATAGGCAAAGCAGAGGCTATGGTTATGTTTACATAGATAATGTCACGCTTTCAAAATAAGACTCCTTTGGATTGTTTCTCATGTTTCTTCTTTTCCGTTAATAAAGAGCTGCTGGGGATTGAATTCATTTGAAGATATACTCGACGAGGCTCGGCAAACTTGGTTATAGTGACTCATGAACATAAGCCTTTGAGAATTTGTTTGGCTATTTGAGAGTAGTTCTCTCCGGTAGAATTGTACATGACAAGGGCAAGAAAAAAAATCATTTTTTCAAGTCTTTCCTATATTTATTTGCAACTATTTTTGTGCATGCGTTTCTGGCGTGGTTTTAGATTGATTTGGCATTAGGATACGCCATTCTCTAGTGTTCCCTTGGTTGAGGTCTCATGGGGGTTGAAGTTTGCTTATATCACTGCAGTTTGATTTTTTTTTTTCCTTCTTTTACATTCTGGTATCTTCTGCGTTCTTGTGGACTATTTGATTGAGCTAAAAGGGGTCTACTCTGACTATGTCCAGGTTTGGCTTGGTCTTACTAGTCATTTCCTGATTCACATTACCCTTTTACTATAACGATACCCGAGGATAGTGTTGCTCAAAGTCTTATACAGGCTAACTTTTTCTGCACCATCAACAGGTGGCTTCTTTACATGTCCACTGTTGAAATAGTGTGCCAACTAATTTTCTCTCTTCTTTAATACTTCACTAACCGCATCTTCTTGTTTTGTTCGGAAACCTTCGTACAATCACAGGAGCACTTGGCACCCGCTGGTTACGTGAAGATATAACGGTGAGTATGATTCTGTCAAGAGAGAAAATATTTAGATAGGATGACTTTTTGTTTATATCTTCTTGATGGCCCAAATTTTGTATTTCTTACTCTGTTATCTAGTCAAAATTTTTTATAACCATATCAAAATAGGCATGGCCGACAATACTCTTCGTATAACATAGGAGCAATGCATATTTTCATTGATTCTCTGTTTTTAGTTTCATATGTTTGATGTTATTTCTCAATGCAAAATCTCATTTCGCTTGCTATTGGGTCAAAAAGTAGATGTTATTTCAATTAAGCAACGTGTGAATTGCCTTTCATTTCTGCAGGACCTTGCTATATCTAAGAGGCTGTAGATTTCTCCCAAAATTAAACAATGCACTTGTGGATGACACAAACTCAGCCTACAAGGAAAGATTTGCTAGCTTGCAGAACCTAGTCCTTATTATGGTTAGTTTTGTATATGTTGTTGATTTTGGACTCGACTTTCGCAGCTTTGTGATGCTAACTCTTTTTATTTCCCTCTAGTTTGAGCAAGACACTGTGCTGATACCAAAGGAAACATCTTGGTTCGGATACTATCCAGATGGAACTTTTGATACTGGTTTGCCTCCCCAGGAGGTAATTGATGTATTACCTTGAAATGCAGTTATCGGTGTTCTTATCAGTGCTATTGAATTATTGTAATTCTTGAGTGATACTAATGGACGTTGAAAAGTAGTTGTAAAGTATTTATAATGGATGAGGGTGGAATCTCCTTGTGGTTCAGAAAGCCTGCATTTTGAAAGGTTCCATTCTTTTGAGATTATTTCCTGTCCTCAAACCATTCCACAATAAGATTTTGCTCGAGGACTTGCACGCACATAAATATATAAAAAACCAAGGGTCTAGAATATACAAAATCTCTGGTAACATTGATATTGACTTGGAATCAACTTTTTTTATTGCACTTTGCGTAGTCAACCAAGAAATGTAACGGAGAACAAGCTGAAACATTTTATAAGCCTTAGATATGAATGATTAACCATGTTGAAAGTAATGCTGAGGATTGTGAAAGCATTATCTTTACCGAGCTCTTCCTCTACAATCTTATGGTGTGGGAGGTGTATATCCATGACATGGTCTGGAATTACTTTTGGTAGTGATTTATGATTTTCATTTCATCATTGAGCATTAACTTCGAAAAGTCGATAATCGAAGGAAAATTGCATTTACAAGAGAAAAATGGACAAAACAGAATGGGCGTGGAAACATATTGTGATATTGTGTTGTCACTTCCAGTAAGCTCGTCATAACATGTTTTTACCCTTACTCAATGCTACAATTTGCATCCTTTTACCATTAGGACTGGATTGGATTGAAAAAAAGAGGAACGTATCTAATCAATGCATTTCCTTGCAGACCGAGCTTTACACCAAGGTTTGGATTGGATTGACGACCTTGATAGCTAGGAAAGTCAAATTCATCGACGTCTCTAGGAACCATCTCCTGATCTCTCTCGCCGACATGCAAAACTATATAGTTCCTTACTCGGTGCATGATGCATCTTTAGCAAAGAACATGGCAACAGGAATGGCTTCTTGTAGTTGGAGCCCATGGGTTCAGGGTTTGTATCGAAGAATGGTTACGCTATCCGAGGATTGGCTGGTACTCCTCTTGGTAGTTACCTTTAGCTTCTGCTTAAAAATTTAAGATGTGACATACAATGTGATTTGAGAGATCAATTCAGGCAGAAACTGAGGCAGTCAGTGCAGATGAACTGCAAAATAGATTTCGATTTACATGTGACCTAGAGATAAAGCAGTTAGGACTTGATCATTTGCAAAATGTGCACAATGTAACTGGGCTCTTACACCTACCGTATGAGTTAACCATTTTCACTATGGCATATACTCTATCAACAAATACAGGTGGATCAAATCAATGGTTGAATTTTCCATTTACCTTTATGTATTATACACATAGGTAAATGACCCAACAGATGATAGGATTTATAATACACAAATAAATGATCTGATTAATGATTGAATTACAGTTTACTTATATACATTATAAGCTACAGTATAATATATGTCCGTTTAAATTTCGCATGTATTAGCTAATTCCAGTTCCTCAATAGCTCCTCTGCTTCTCCATGCAAATTTATTTTATGATTGCTTGCTCTTTCTAGCCTCCAATTTTCATTTTCTAACATTAAAATGCTCTTATGGTGTTTTGAAATAATCCTTCTAAATTATTTTATGTAACTTGTTAATTTGGAAATGACTCGATATAAGAGATAATAAACATGTTAAATTTGTATTTGGAGTTTTGATACGACTTGTCAGTAAAATAAGTGGCAAAAAATCGAAGTCATCTACTAATTATTTGATATCGAAATGGTGTAGTTCCGTATATCCATCTTTCGAGCTATCGCTCAACCCATCAAATGTATGTGCACTGAGAAACTTACACCCGATACACACGATAGTAGTCCAACAAGATAAACAAGTAGTCGTGAAAGAAAGTTAATTCAGCAATTAGCACCCAGAAACCTTCCATGTTATGATGGTATCTAGCAAAACTACATGAGACTACAAATTGACATTTCCGACTCGCAATTCGCATGGAAACCTCCTGGATAAGGCAAGAAACATAACAACACATATACCACAATTCCAAGTGGGGAGATTTAAGAAAGACATCGAAATCAAGAATTGTGAAGAATCACCATTGGAAAACTCACAAATACCTGACATAGATGTTGATAGTTTTGCTGCTCTATGATCTGTTATTTGCCGACTATACTATTTCTTCTTCTTACCACCACCAGCCTGAAATTCTTGTTAGTTGCTGCTTTGGCAATATTTTGAGGGTTTCCTGTTGCATGGATGACACTAATAAACAAGTTGTATAAGTGACATATACGTATCGTAAGAATTAACACTAATATGCTCTCTGCCCGACAAGTACCCCTCTCGTTCTAGCATAGAGAGCAAACGTCATCCATCCAATAAAATTTATACAACTCTCTTGCAAAGTTGCAGTACCATAAGACATGACCCATTTTTTAGGAAAGGAAGGCATCAACTTGCTTCCAACAATGGGCAAAAACAGCATCTACAAGTCAGGACTTGCTCAATAAATAGGGTTCTTACATCCACCAACATTTAGCTCCATGTCGGGAGGCTGACAACTCTCAACGGCTGTTTGAAGTTCCTCAAACCCAGGACCATGGTTGGCATTTTAAAGCAGCCAACGAACCTGTGTGGGAGATTTACGGAGACTTGTGTAGAGAATGTCTTAGGCTTGAACGCCAGATTGGGGGATTGAAGTGTGCATTTGCTTCCCTGTCATCCAATGCAATTACGATAGTTAATCGGGCCGAAACTCTTAACAGATCCGTACAAGCACACTGGTGCTTTTGTTTATCGAATTGATTTCATGAATAGGATGATGCAACACCATTAGCACATCTGTAAAGTTATATGAGAGTAATCGGGCATAAGCAGCAGTGGCCTGGCAACACACTACCTTTGATTTACAACACTACCACCAACAGTTTAAAAATGATCACAAAGATGTAAAACTTTGTGCATCGCTAGGGCAATCAATGGCTTACGAAGTGAGTTAAAGGAAATACTATTCATCCATCAAAAGTGGCATCTGAAGACATCTCTTTGCTAGAGCAATGTGTGACACTATACCTTTGCATACATTAAAAGAAGGAAAATTCCAGGTGCTTAATACTCAAAGATATCGAGATGACGTACCTTCCTCTTAGCAGGTACAGATAGATTCTTAGCTGGCTTAAAGAAGGATTCTAATCTATAGAAAATGAATGAGGAATCATCGGATGAAAGAAAGTGCATTTTGTAAGTCACTTTCATTTATTCAAGCTTTAGTTACCGGCCTTGTGATGACTCATCCTTAGCTGCCTTAATCTTCTCTATCGCCTGATACACATGGTAAAACAACATTGAAAACATGCATGCTCTCTCCTCCAGAGGAGAAGAAGCAACTTCCTTGAGTAGGCAACTGACCAACACATTACTGAAGATAGAAGCCATACCTTTGTCTCTCTGTCAATGTTGAAAACATTCTCATTCACTAGAAAGGAAATTAAGCCCTTGAAAGGGAAAGAACAATCAGTTAGGAAATGAGTCGAGAATTCAAAATGTTGCAAGTAAATCCCAACATGAAAATGGCCCACCTCCTCATTTGGAGCAGTCCATTTTATCTCAGGTTGTTCTTCCATAGAAACTATTGGTTCCTTAAAAAGCAGTCGAGCTTCACCATAGGGCCAATTATCTGGTAACTGATACCTATTCAAAATTCAAGCAAACATTTCCTTAAGAAGGATAACTGAACTGAATAAAGACTTCCAAGTAATGCAAAGAACCTCTGGGTCTTAAGGATAGAGAAACGATACGATTTTGTTCAAGTGAGAGTGAAATAACAGACAAAGCAGACATCAGAATAGATAAAAGTATTATAGTAAATCAACACATGAAGTAGCATGGTTGATGCACTGATTGCCAGCCCAAATCTATTGGTGGCAAATGATCTTTCGACTTCAAATTATTGATCAAATATTTCCGCTCTAGCTGAGTTTGAGAGATAATTCTTTTAAGTCAAGGAATCAGCAGCCAAGACTATTACAGTGAGAAACTTTGCTGCCTTACTTTGCTTACAAGTCTGGGGACAAGATAAGAGAATAAGAAGCACCTTTGCTTGTTTATGTTATCTAGTATGTTTTCTATGAAACCATGTTGACTGATGAGCTTAAGAGCAGTCAGCCCTCCAATACCTGATAAATTCATTCCAAAGTAAAGCCACTGAAATCATCAATCTAAAACATATGAGAGGGCCAAATGATATACGATAGCATAAAACAGTTATCAGAGCACTGCAATAATATCACGCCTACCTCAAATGCTTTCACAATAATCACATCCAGAGAGAATGCACAGGTCAATGAATTGATCCATATCCAGATTCATCTCCTCCAAGATCTAAAAGTCATTAAAGTGAGAAAAAAATTTTTTAAGCAATCGCAATGAATAAACTTTTCTAAGTACCCTGGAAATTTCAAATTCCATGACTAGAACTTTTCTTGAGCTGGGATCCATAAAATGGCGAAGAAATCTAGGAGCTCCAAAAGGAAGGGAATCCATATCTTCAGAAGCAACTGCATAAACCTGAAAAACAAAAATTACAGATAAAGCACCATTCATGATAGATGAATTGTGGTTACCGCACAACAATTAAGCAATGATAGGAATTCGAAGTCAGCGAAAATTCCTTGGACAAAGATGATTTAGTAAAGAGCATACCAAATGTAAATGACTACGCAAAAGAAGACATTAGACAAGTGAACAAGCATAAGTTCAGTGGATCCCATAAAAACTTCTTTCGAGGAAACAAGTGACTACGCAGAAGAAGACATCAGACAAGTGAACAAGCATAAGTTCAGTGAACAAGGAAATTAAATCATGGAAGTATGATGGTAATTTACGTGGAGTTAAACGATTGGTTATCATGGGAAAACAATGAACCATATCGTAAATCAGAAGACGATCAAACGGGAAGACACTTGCCTTTCCAGCTTTGCAAAGTGCAGCACATTGTGCCTCTGCTTCTGAAGGAGCCTAACATACAAAATCAGAATTTGATATCTAAACTTTTTGTTAGAAATAAAAAAAAGAACAAACTTTTCAGACAGAATAGTAACCTCAACTAGTGGACACCCATAAGTCTTAGTAGTCTTTTGCAATCTTCATTGTGCTGTTGTGTCACCTGCAAGGGTATCAAAGCCATGTACCACAAGTCCACACACATCCAGTCAGCTACGTAGATAGGTTTTTCTGGAAAACAAAGACAAAATCAAACTTCACATCAAACAGGACAAAAATATCGCACTGTAAGGAAGTGATCAAAACAAAGACCAACCTTCACAGTTCTTTTACTGAATTTCTCTATGTCTTCCTTGTTCTGAGACTGCAGGCAATTAATACAGAGCTCACTAAGCCTTTTTGTACTCTGTGTTTCTGCATGCTTATGTGAATGTGCGTGAGAGAGAGAGAGAGAGAGAGATGTTTATACCGCAATGGCTACTGCCAAGTCCTCAGAGGCATCTGCCCTCTTCAAAAAACTGCTCAGAGACTCAATTAAGGTAACTAAACGTATCCATAGATAATTCAAAGAAACAAGAAAAGAGAAGGCTACATAATAATAAAGTACCGTTTTGCAAGCTCTTGCTTCTTCAAATCAGGAGGTTTACCATCAAATACGTAGCTATCGTAACAAACAGTAAAGCATAATTCAGAGAAAGATGAGCTTCACTCTTCTTAGCATTCTATCCCAATGAAAACAAAGGACGTAAAGAAGAGTATTTTACACTGGCTGTATCCCCGCTTCCAACAGCCTAATCGTCCGGTAAAGCATGCCTTGCAGATGACTAAACGAGAAGACAAATCAAAAAGCAGCTCAAAGTCAACACTTCTCAAGCATAAAGATCACATACATAAAACCGAGTCCAAGCGATAACATCTGAAGCATCAAAACAGAAACTTGAGCCAAGTGGATTTTCATTTCCGCGAGGTATTGCGATGCCAGTAGTATTACCTGGTGACTTGACCAGCCTCATTGGTGAGCATCTGAGTCCCCTTCCTCCCAACCACAATCTGATCCACCAATCAAAGACCAAAAAACCCCCAACACTCAAAATCCAAATCGCAACCGACACCGAAACGCGCAATCAATCACAGGCATCGATCCATAAAAAGAAAAGCACTTAACGAGGAACTGATAGATGCTCATGCTGGCATCGACTGCGATACTCCGGCCGAAGTAGCTCTCCAGCGTCTGCTCCTTCATCGACTTCGGGGCATTGTCCGCCAGTAGCTTCGTCAGCCCCTACCGAAATCAACGGGCGATTCGATTAACAATC